TCAATCTCTTGGTGGGCCACATTCAGATCTCCACACAGCACCAGGAGCTTGCGCTGGTCCAAGCCACTCAGGTAGGCCCGGAAATCCACATCCCAGGTCTTACGGTAGTCGAGTCGCACCAAACCACGACTGGCATTAGGCACATACGCCGTAACCAGGAAGAAAGATGGAAACTCAGCAGTGATAACCCGACCTTCTTTATCATGTTCCTCTTTACCTATATTGAGGCAGAATGAGATTTAAAAGATTGATTTCATAATGAAATCAAAGAAATACATGACTATTGCAATACTACTATTGTAGTGTAAAATATAAGTATTTACTACTACTACTAACAACATTAATATTATATTTAAATTATAAAACTTAATAAAGAAATATGACCTTGCAATAAAACTATTGTACTGTAAAATAAAAACAAGTATATAAATACTACTATTACTTCTATTAATAATAGTAATTTTAGTATAGTAGGACAAACCTCAAATTAAAATAGCCATCTTAATTTCTTTGTGTTCAAACATAGTGCTTTTATTTTGTTTGCAAACTGCAGGGAGACCTTAAATCCACTTTGCTGACAAAAGATTTATAAACAATTCTGATTACAAATTTGGAAACATGGTTGTTTGCATTGTGTTTTTAAATGCATACTATAAGTGAAACACAGCCGTTGCATAGATGGAGATTATGCAATTCACATGGGTCATACAATATTGAAATCCTTACAAATATGGGAAAAAAAAGACACTTACCAATACCATAGGTGACACTGAGTGGTTCAGTCTTGCAGAGCATGGCGACTCCGCTGTAACCCTCCTTATCCTCTGATCCAGCCCAGTACTTGTGTGGATACTCAGGCATGTCAGTGATCTCAGATGGCAGGGCTTTCTCAGCGCACTTAGTCTCCTGCAGACACAGCACATCTGGATCCTCCTTGCGCACCCACTGCAAACAGACAAAAAACAAAGAAATTGAAGAGTCCATACCTCTACCAATCTGACATAGACTCACACAAAAATACTAAATAAAGACACAGAGACTGGCTAGACTTCACAAAGAGGACCATGCAGTACATGCAAAACACAATCAATGTCTTGTATGTTGAATTCTCACATCAAGGCCGTTCTTTCTGACCCAAGCGCGCAGACCGTCCACATTCCAGGAGGTGATCTTCATGTTGGATGCACGACCATCCTTACTGGTCATCTTATCTGGAGGATCTTCATACAGAATTGGGGCCTCTGGCTCCTTCCCCTTTTTCTCTTTCTTTGCAGGTTCTGTGATAGAAAACTCCATGTTATCTGATGCACTTTGTGAAGATGCAAACTTTTTTTTTTAAATATAGTATTAAAACTCTGTACCAGCTCCATTGCCAGTCTCCCCCTCGACAGCTTCCTCGTTCTTCTTGGCTCTTTTAGGCATGCTTACAGTTGTTTTAAGACCACACACGCGTAAGAAACTGACAGCACACACACGAACACCTACAAGA